TTTAGAGATATTGAATACTTTGGAGTAGTTATACAAGTCATGACTCTGTTAATCAAACCCTTAGGGAAATCCAAGCCTTGAATCATCTCCTTTATAAAATTCTGACTAATAGTGTCAAAAGCCTTTCTAATGTCAATGTTAATCATGACTCTAGAAGAGATGTGCTTCCTTCCATAATTTTTAACCAATTCATGGGCTAACAGAATGTTGTTTGTTATGTATCTTCCTTTTACAAAAGCACTTTGTGCTTCACTAATGAGATACCCCATGACTGATTAAATCCTATTTTCAAGGATTTTTGAAATAATTTTATATAGGTAGTTGCAACATGAAATTGGTCTGAAATCTGTAGGAGTGTTTGGACAGGATACCTTAGGGATTAGTATAATAAAGTGGAGTTTATGACACCCAGTAATTTTCCTGTGCTAAAAAACTCTTCAACTGCAAGTGTAACTTCACCTCCTATAGTAGATCATGCTGACTTAAAGAAAGAAGCACCAAAGCCATCTGGTCCTGGGGACTTATTGTCTGTCATGGAGAAAACAACCCTCTTAATCTCATCTTTTGTGACTGGTGAAGAAAGGTTCTTTATATGATTTTCACTCAAACAAGGACCATTCTTAATAATCCTGGTTTCTGGAGGAGATGTTGCACTTGCTGTACCTATAAGATTTTTGAAGTAAGAGACAAGTTCATTTGCAATCTCCCCACCCTCTGTAATTCTCTCACCCATGCTGTTTGTGAGAATTAGAATTCTGTTCTTGTGCCTATTGGCTTTGATAATAGAATGAAAATAGCTTGTACATCGATCTCCTTTATTGCTCCATTGAATTCTTTCTTTTTGCTAAAAAAAGATAACTCACATTGCAAGAGTTTATTATAAGCAGACAAACAATCTTTGTCATGTTTAATAAGACCAGGATTAAAAAGATCCTCCTGCAGCTTATTTTGAACTTCCTCCGGTGCATATTTAGCTCTTTCTACTTGTTCACTAATATTTCCATAACGTTTTCTGTTTAAATCCTTTAGAGCTCCCCTCAGCAGTTTGAGTTTTGTAACAACTGAATACATTTTGAACCCTTCAATTTGCCTCTGCCACATTGAAGATACTGTAGGCAGGTAGTTGCTGTGATTAATCCACATATTAAAAAAACTTAAAAGGCTTTTTACCTTGCCTATCCTCATCATATATAGAAACTAATGCAGGAGAATGATTTGAGAAGTTTGGAAGTAAGAATTCCACATGACTAGAGTTATACTTATGGATCCAGGAGTCATTTACAAGAGCCCTATCTAACCTGCACCAAACCCTAGCATCGTGGTCTTGTTTGTTGTTCCAGGTAAAGAAACAACCCAATGTTTTTAGGTGCAAGAGATGGATATCTTCAATGAAAGAATTAAAGTCTTTCGTATCAGCATCCGTAAGTGCATTTCCTCCTAGCTTTTCATCATTATTGATCATAGTGTTGAAATCCCCATATAAAAGCCATGGTGTATTTCCAACAATCTGATGCACTTGGAGGAGCTCAGTCCATAGAGCCTTTCTTTAATCCTGATGATTAAAACCATAGATAGAAGATAGAATACAATTTATCCTCTCATCCATAGTTTTGACAGTGCAGGTTATATGCTGAGGAGAAATGTAATCAACTTGTATATTCATTAAATCAAGATCCCATAAAATCAGTATTCTTGCCTTTTCTATGATTGATACATTTGAGATCCATTTCCAATTAGTGGCAATTTTCTTTGTTATAGCTGGAATTTTAACCTCCTTTACTTTATTTTCTAGTAAGGCAATGAAAGAGAGATGATACTGTGAAATATGTTGCCTGATTAGGTGTTGTTTAGAGGACTTGTTTAGTCCCCAAACATTCCAAAAAGAAAAATTCATATGGTTTGATCCCCTCTATCCATTGTAGAGGGATCTAGATCACATACTATTCCAGCTAGTGGGGAGAAGGAATCAATAGGTGAGAGCCTCTTTTTACTTTTCCCCTTTGCATTAGCATCCAAGATTTTCCTGAGTGTGTATGAGTATCAGAATTTGGCTATGAAACATGCACAACATTTTTTCCAGCAGAAACATTTCCTGAGCTCAAGATTTCTCTTTTTTCCATTTGATTCATCTGCTCAGCATGTATAGAAGTCCTCTCATTTGTAAAGTTACCGGTATTCATTCCAACACCATATCCTAAAACCAGCTCAATCCCAGCACTCTGAGCTGTATTCACAGGCATTTGTGGCACAGATTGTGCTTGGAATAGGCATTTGTGGCACAGATTGTGCTTGAATAGGCTTCTGAACAAGTAAGACAAGGTCAGGTAGGACATGAGTATTTGTCTGGATTTTATTTACACCATCCTGAAAGTGTATAGCATGCACAGGAGAGATAACAGATTCCACTCTAGTTTTTTTTTACTGAAGGATCTACTTTTTTTTAGGCCTCCATATTTGAACCCTTGCTTTTTTCCTACAATGTAGTGTGTAATGACCCACAACTTTACATCACACCATCTAGGCTTCAACTCATAATATACCTTCTGCAACATATTTTTTCCATCTGGTCCTTTTATTGTAATTTCATCAGGAAGAGCAGAGGGCAAGTTTATTTCCACTAAAACTCTAGCACATGCAAGTCTTTGCCTATTACCTGTAAGCATATCAGTGGTAATTGGTTTTCCTATAATGCTGGCAATTTTGCTAATACTCTTTGCATTCCATAAGTTCAGCCTCAAACCTGGTAATTGTATCCAGACAAGGTAAACACTCTCTTTTCTTTTCTCCAAGTCTTCATCGATATTCCAAGGCTTCAAGAGAATAGGCCTGGAACCAAAGAACCAAGGTCCATTCTCCAAAATGCTTTTTATATCATCTATGTTTTTGAATTTGAAAAGAAAAAGACCAGGTTTAAGAAGAAAAGTTTTAGGCACTGCCAAATTCCCCCAAATTTTCTACACATAATTTTCCATGGCCTTAAACTTAGCATTTAGACCTAATATCTATCCAATTAAAGAAAATTTCCAAAAAGATCCCCCTGCATTCCATTCATCTTCATCAAAGGTAATTGTATCTTTAACATCAGGAGGCATATAATTCAGGCTAAAACCATTTACATTTTTTCTATTATCAGCAAAAAAACTCACCCAACTTTTCTTTACCATTACAGGATCAGGAATTGGCACATTAGTAGTTTTCTCAAGTGGCAGGAAATTTTTTCCATCCAAGAAATCTGTTTCTGAACTATTTTGGGGAAAATTATCAACAGATTCAAAAATTTTCCTATCAAGATTCTCAGAGATCTTATCTAGAGTCAAGGAAGAATCCAAATTCAAAGAAGCATCATCTTTTAGTAAATCCGAATGATTCTTGGATGAGATATCTAATTCAAGATCATCTGCCCAAGAAATTCGAGCAGAACTACATTCACCAGTAACAGAGTTTAAGGACTTACAGAGTTGTCTCGATTGAAATCCAAAAACCTCAGGAAATTTCTGAGGTTGAAGAGAATTCACCAAGAACTTGCTGGAGTTGAGAATATCAGCCATCAGCAGCTTCTTCTTCTCTCCTCTAGGTCCCATAGATCCCATGACCTCATGATTTAAGACTTCATCATCTCCAGCCAAACCTGCTTTAGATTGATACTCAGATGATTGTTCACAAGAATTTGAGGCACTCAAATCAATCTTCAAGATCTTAGCTCCATAGTTTTTTTTCACCATTAAAATCAAGGCGGGGCCGCAAGTTAGCAGGCAAAAAATCACCTGCTGACGTGCACCAAGAAGAACCGCCAATTTCGTTTTTTAATTCCTAGTGCCTTGTTGTTATTCATAGAAAATATTGCAGTTTTAATTTTATCTTTTGAGAGCTGGAAGCAAATAACTTTGGACAATTATCACCCTCCTTCATAACTTTCAAAATATCAGTGGCGCCCCCCCCCCCCCCCCTCCCCCCTCCCCCACCACAACACAAGTTTAGGGGTTAATTATAAGAAACCCCCTTTAAATTTAAATTTAGGAGACTTTATATGGAAAACTTAAGAAAACCCCTTTAAATTTAAATTTAAGATTTTATTGGAAAACTGGCCACCTAACATTATTAACTGTAATTTTCCATATGGGTGGCTAAAATTAAGCAAAGGGCTATGTTCCAGTAAAAATTGCTCACACCTAACAACAAATGTATAACTAGATCTCTGTAGTTATTGTTAACCCCTGGCTTAGACAAATTCTATTCACTAATTATAAGAGAGCTAGAGGTTCATCATTTAATAATTTGATATTTGTCCTTCTGGAACCCTGTGTGGTCAAGAGAAAGACTGTGGTGCTAATCTTTGCTAGTGACTGATGAACTAAGTGGAGAGCGATGGCCCATAATGCTATACTTTACTTTTTCACTTTCAGACATCCCTTCCCTTTTCAGCTCTCCACCATCCTCCCTACTTCTTATCACCTATCTTATAGACCTTGCACTTTTCCAATTATTCCATTTCTGGCTTATAATTTTGTCTCTTTATCATGCTAAGATTATTATATTACATCAATAAAGTAGGATTCTTTCAGATCCTGTCCTTAGCAACAACCTAACAAAGGGCTTCTCCACTTCATTTTGTCTTCACTGACTTCATGCACTGTGAAACAAAAACAAGAACAGTAATGCTTAGCTACATAACTCAGAAATTTCATAGCTATACTGCTCTAAGGCCATGCAAAAGGGTTGAAGCCATTAATGCTTAGCATATTTATGAGCACCCACTAGGCCTATCATATGTAGATTTTGAGCCTCAAAAACAAACAAATATTTATGAAGATGATCCCCAAGTCACTTTGCCTTGAAGAGCAAACTTTGCTAAATTTGAGAAATTTCCAATTGAGGATCCGGTTTTTTCAGGTTCAAAGGTTGATTTGGCAGTTGCTTGCATGCCTAGGGTTTCTCATCTTTGATCAGTTTGCCTACGTTGCATGACATAGATTACTGCAGCTCTAACCAACAAGCAAACAAAACTAAAAGGGAAACTTCAACATTAACTCCCAATTCTCTTCATAGTACACAATGGATCCAAATTTGTAACTCTCTCTCTTGCTCTCTTCACGAAAAAGATCCTATACCCCTCTCTCAAGCAAACATCATTAAAAACAAAAAATTTCCAAAAGCCCAATCCAAATAAAAAAAACAAAGAACTATGTACAAGACTGTTGTATATAGGAAATTATGGATACGAGCTGAGATGAGTTCATTTAACAAAATAAGTTTGTTAAGAGATAAAAATAACCAGGATTATGAATATGAATCTCAACAATTCATCCTCAAGTGTCTCGTTTAAAAATGAACTGTCATCTCGTATCCATGTTTTTCAAACCGAGTTGTGCTCAGGTATAGTGGCAAGATTGTTGGTCCTCTGCCTCTTAATGCCACTGACCGCCGAAGCCTCATCGCTCACCGTTGCTCGTTCCATGACCGCCTTCAGAGCATCTTGAATCGCCACGATCAACTGCTGCTGCTGCTGACTCTCGTCAAAATCCTCATCCCCAGTGATGACCAACAGATTCTTGAATCGTCCCCCAACCGTCATGATTTCAGCCTTGAGCGTCCTCAGACGTAGTGCTTTTAGAGCCTTGATGAGATCAGGGATGAGGTCCGACCGATCGTCACAGCATAACGTCGCTTTTACTATGAATTTTCCTTCATCGTCACTGGCTGCGTCGACGGTGAGCTCGTCTGATTCGGTTGGTAACAGGCTGCATTCTTCTGCGATTTCGGATGTTTGACGTTTTAGTTCTTTGACGTGTTGGATCACTTCTGCTAGCAATGTGGCTTTGTCTGTCTGCAATATTCATGACATAATAAAGAACCAAAATTTTTGTCTCTCTTGTTTCTTGTAAGTTCATTGTTGTTTGTGCTGCTCCCCTCACTTTGTTGCTCTTTAATGATGATCCTCTCTCTCTAGGTCTAGGCTTTTCTCTCGATCTAATTGTGAATTTGATCGGTAGTATAAAATAAGCAATAAATTTATCTTTGAGTTACCTTTTCCAAAATTTTGAAATTACAACAACATCCAATTAAACATATAGGTTAAAATTAATTTGAATAAAATTTTGATCGAACAAGTATCCAACTATTCCTAATCAAATATGCCCTTTAATTAAGTATATAAAAGTGAAGATTTACAGATCAATCATAACATTAAATCCTCGAAACATCCTCTCCTCTATTGAAACCAAATTAAAACAAGTAAAAGAATTACCATTATAATATGATCCATTATGAATATATGAACCCAAACCTTAGCTTGAACTTACTTTGGTAGCACTAGGCAACAAGCTGCGCAACTTAGCATGATGAGCATTAATCCGCTCCCTCCGCTTGCGCTCAGCCTCACTATGGCTCTTTGATGCAGCCAACGCCTTAGCATCCATGATCTCCTGCGCACTCAATGTCGATGAGGACTGAACTCCTCGACCATCGGATCCAATATAGTTATAAAGCCCTGCAAGCCCTAGAGGATCAATAATATTACAACCACCTCCATCATAAGCAAACTGTAGAGCAGTGGAAGCCCTTGATCTTGTGTACAAATCTCCATAAATTGGAGGAGGAGGAGGATGAGGAGGAGGGATATAAAAGCCTTGGAATTGTTGGTTGAATGAATGAATAGGTGGAGGAATTGGCCATGAAGAGATCATTGAATATTGTTGGTCGTGATCTTCTTGTTGCTGGTTGTAGGCTTGGAATTCAAGCATGTTGAGGGTTGAAGTGTTGTACGAGGAGCTCTCTCCATCTGCAGCAGTGTTCATTTTCTTGGATTTTGGCGTGTTGTTGTTGTTGTTTTGCTGGTGATAGAGGTAGGGTTATATATACTTTTGTAGCTCTATCTCATGGCATTCTATGAGTTCAATGGCCTTTTGTCCTGAACTTTTGGGAGAGCTCTTGTGTGTACGAGGACCTATGACCTATGAGAGCTATTACTTTCCCCTTACGCTAGGGTTTTCTATGGGTAAATTTTGTTTAGGCCCCTCATTTGTATTTGATTTGCACTGAATCCTTTGAAAGAAAAAAACTTTCATTGAAGGCCCTGACAATCGGAAAGAAAACTTTATATGATAGTTGACTACAGAAAATAAGGAAAATTGAAACCAACGATTTGAGAGCTAAATATATAGTACTGAATTATGTATACTGAAGTACACTAAGAGAATATTCATAAGTCATTGTTGATTTTTAAGCACGTTGCCTACTCATGATAGCTAAGGACGAACTTATTTTGCGAGGATATCCAGTATTAGATAGTTGAATAGACCAAATGAGAAGAGTATAAAATTAAAAAATATACTAGCAAATCTATCTTAAATACCCAAAATAAAAATTCAAAGTGGGATCTAAGTAATTATTTCAGCTATATAAATAGTAGGAGATTTTAATTACATTCTCATTCCCAAAATTACATTGTAACTACATGAGTGACCCTAGAGTCTATGTATCTACACTGATAACTTGAGATTACTAATTGTATTATAGGTTGACCCTTGAATCTTATGGTACCTTAACATCGTTGCTTTTTTCTGACGTAGAGCTTCTTGTTAGATGTTGATCAGGATTACGGTTAGGTTATAACAAATATTACTGATCGTTGGGGGTTAGATTAGGATTATAGCAACAGAATTTTTCATCAGTAACCTTTGCTAGCTATACTTTTCTTTTGGTCAATGAAAAAATTTATTCATCACCAATATGAGAATTTATGTACATCAAGATCTCAATTGATATTTGAGATATCAAAACCTGAAAACAAAACTCTAGAGAAGAACATATACAGAGCCTTTACAAGGAATATAACTAGTCTCTGTTTTCAACAGAGATCGAAGAATTCAGATTTGTGATCAGGATATCCATCTTTACAATCTTGATCAAACATTCCACACTTCTGTGCTTCAGCTGAAAAAACCTGGCATTTCATTCTTCCTATATCCTATAAATTGTAGCAGAAAATACCATGCACTTGATCCCTTGTTTAAATCCTTTCCCTCTCAGTCTTGTGCAATACCAGTCTAATAGAAGCCTCCAATCGCAAGACTTCTAAGAGAATTGAAGCCAGTTCATGATACAATCTACATTTCACTTGAATAACTGCAATCAAAGAACAGGTGGTTTCGACTTTCCAAGCGATCACCCGAACATAAACTACATACATTTGCATTAATGACTCCCCTCCTCATCAACCTATCTTGTGTAAGCAGTCGATTATGAACAACAAGCCAGCAAATGAAAAAATATTTTGGGTAGCTCATCCTTTCCCATACAGTATCATGCCAAGGCACACTATGAATAACAGGGGAAAAAGCTTTGTACAAAGTCGATATCTGAGCTTTTTGATTTCTAAAACAGGAGCTTAAGAGTTGTATCAGATTTTCAACTCCTCCACAGAAATTCACAGGTTTATCTCTCCTTTTCAACATTTACTTCCACATCGAAGAATCTCCATTTTTTGCACACACATGCCAGATGTCCCTGTGCCTCAAATAAGTCCCATGAACCCATTTGATCCAAAGTGATTCTTTATTTATATGGATGAACCATAAGTTTCTTAAAGCTATAGCCAAATTCCATGTAGAGGCAGAAAATACCCCAAGACCACCCTGCTTTCTTCCCAGACATATAGTTCCCCAAGCAACAAGAGGAACTTTGGAAGTTTGATTTGTTTTACCCCAAAGGAAATTCCTACACATTTTATCAACCTTGCGGGTAACATTGACAGGCAAGATAAAATTTGTAGTCCAAAATACTTGTACCCCCAGAATAACACTCCTGATAACTTATAATCTATCTGCATAGGTGAGATTTTTGTGTTTCAACCAAGTCTGAAGTTGGTTAGACACCTTATTTATAAGTGCATTGCAGTCCACATAAGATAGTTTCTTGCAAATGAGAGGCACACACTAGTATCTGATTGGAAAAATACCCTCTTTGAAACCTAGAAGATTTGTAATTTTAGTTTTAACTGCATCATCAACCCCACCAAAGAAAACTGAACATTTATCTTGATTTGCTTCAAGCCCAAAGGTTTCACCAAACTTTTTAACACACTAGCACAATTTCTGAACTGAGTATAAATCATCCTTCCCGAATAGCAACAGGCCATCAACAAAGATAAGGTGGATAGGTTTTAATTTGCTACATTTGGGATGAAAATTAAAATGCCTATCATGTTTTAGCATATCCAAACTTCTTGATAGATATTCCATGCCCAAAATAAAGAGATATGGAGAAGGAGGATCACCTTTTCTCAAGCCCCTCTCACCCTTAAAATATCCATGAAGAGAACTATTGAGAGAAATGGAGAATTTAGGACTAGAAATATAGGCCATAATCCTTTCCACTATGAAGTCTGGAAATTTCAGCCCCTTGAGCATATTTTGTAAATAATTCCAACTGATAGTATCAAAGACCTTTTTTTATGTCAATATTTAACATGATTCTGGAAGAAATATGTTTTCTAACATAGCCTTTTACCAAATCATGTGCTAATAATATATTACTTGTTATTTGTCTACCCTTAACAAAAGCAATTTGTGCTTCATTCACCAAATGACCCAAAAATGATTTTATTCTATTTGCCAAGATTTTGGAAATAAACTTGTATAAGCAATTACAACAAGAGATGGGTCTAAAATCAACAGGAGTTTTTGGATATTTCACCTTGGGGATAAGAGTAATTGAGGTAGAATTCACCACACCCAATAGTTTGTTATCTATACCTTAATCTTAGCCTAACGACAACTAAAACTCTAATCCTGATTCTGATAATAACCACATCTAATGAGAACTCCAAGTCAGAAAAAGACAAATGAGATTAATCAGATTCAAACTCATTCATGTAATTGCAATTATTAATCATAAGATTACTCGTGTAGATATGCAATATTCAGAATTACCCATGTAATACATTATGCCTTATGATACATTAATGTACTTCATCCTAAATAGTATCCATATTGTATGACTCATCTGATCAACAGGGGTTGATCTAAATGGTTGACAGTGCACCTTGAAATTTAATAAATTGCATATTAGTCCTTAAAGCATTTACAATCTGCCCCCTCCCCCTCATAAATTTTTAAAATTGCATTTCCAATCTATCTAAAATCCATAAATAGTTTAATAGCAGATAAAATTAGCCCATTTGAAAGTAAAAGGCCATTTAATTTTTCAACAATCAAAGTCAAATAGTTTGATAATATTATATTATATTTTCAGATAAAATGTTTTTTTGGATCCGCCACTGACCAAAATAGCAATTTAATACTAGAAAAGCATGTTTTTACCAAGTACAACATGCTGATGAGAATTCAAGATAGATTACTAACTCAGGATAAGCTGCTGAAAAGAGGGATCATTCAAATCAACAAGTGTGTGCTATGCGCAGGGTCAGGATCTGAAACTCGTAATCACATATTCTTTGAATGCAAATTTTCGACAGACATATGGAATGCAATAATGAACTGGTTGCAATTCCATTGGAAAAGCTGTGACTGGAACCTGTTGATAGGATGGTATGAAGCTAACCAAAGGAGGAAAGAATTTAAGATCAATGTCAAAAGGATGGCTCTCACCTCCTCAATTTACAACATATGGCTGGAACGTAACGGAAGGATTTTTAAGCAGTCTTATAGGAGTGTGGAGCAAATTATCAAATGCATCAAAATGGACTTAATGTCAGTTATCCTCAATAGTGAGATGCCATGGAATTACAAAAATTGGTTGATCTCTTTATAAGCATAGCAATATGCAAACTGATGTCGGATGGTGCACTGCCAGGCAGTGTCAATTGTTCTGAAACAGCAGCAAGCCAGGAGATGCATAAACCTGTAGAAATGATTTTGAGCATATCAGGTGTATAAATTTTCTTCTTTTTGATCCCTAGATACAAATCATTGTCATCTCACAAAATGTGATGAGATTCTTGATGTATATATTCTTTCATATTGGTTGATGAATAAAATTTTTCATTTACCCAAAAAAAAAAACATGCTGATGAGAATAAGCATACTTAATATTTCATTATACATGCATGAGATCACAAATCAGTTTATTAAGCTATTAAGAGATGAGCTTCCATGAGTTTCATCCTACTAGTCACTTTGGATGGGTGATTTTCACCACTATATCTATTGATAGTTTGTTTAATAAAATAAGCCGCCAACTCATATTCATCAAAACCTGTTAGGCAACACATAGAATTGGAAACAAGAATTATACACGCCTGATCCATGTATTACAACAATGCCAAAAGAAATTTGTTTATATATGTGATTGTTGCCAAATGTCTAGTCAAAAATTTTGAAGTCAATAAGAGCTGGATAAACTAAAAATTTTCCATTCTGCACATATGGGCATGGTAGAAAGAGTTCCTGAATTAGTTGTTTGTCATGATGAGTTGGTGAGGCAAAGGTAAGAGGAAAGGGGGAGCATGTTGATGGAAGAAGAACCGACCAGTACTGAATGAAAGTGAGGAGGTAGAGATGAAAAGGGAAGGAAAAAATATGAGAGAGGATTTGATTTTGTTTGGGTCAAAAGGCCCACTAGCTTTTAGCTGCTAGCTGAACACTTGTGCTCTCCTTGCTTTCTAATTCCACGCCTCACTTCCTGCTTCCCCAAAACGATGTAATCATTGTGTCTTCGTATACACTCTTCAACCTCTCTCTCTCTCTCTCTCTCTCTCTCTCTCTCTCTCTCTCTCTCGCTCACTCTCGCTCTCGAGTTCTCTCTTTCTCTCTCCTCTCTCTAATTTCTTTTGTGTTTTGAGGAGCATGATACTGTCCAAACTTTTGGTTGGTGTTGGCATCGACTTTTGTCTTAGTGTAGTCATGTTGAAGGTGAACTTTATATGTGCATGTGTCC